AAAAAAAATGTAAAACCTAAAAGTGCAAAAATAGGATAACCTTGGGTTATGGATTAGTATCGGATAGCAGTGAGTTTCAACAACCCAAACGGGAAGTGCTTACTGTAGCTACTCGTGTCAACTCTAAAGAGTGATGGCAAATAGAGTGTAGATCAATGCTACTTGATGCTGTTGTATGACAAAGATACCGTCAGCTACAAGTACCAAAATAGATAGTGATGATTATGAATTGCTTGTAAATCGCAATTAGTTTCAACATCTCAAAGAGGAATGGATATTTAAGCCACCCGAGTCATCTTAGAAGAAAAGAACTAAATTGTGATAACGAAACACATGTCAAGTTAGTTCAAATTAAACATCGTTGTTGATATGTTCATTGTGTTCAGAGTAGGAACAACTGTAACTTGGTCAAATCTGGTGGCAAACATCTGGCCCACATGTAGCCTATAACGGTCCCACTGCTCAACACAAACTACTGGCCCACATGTATCCTAGAACGGTACCACTGCTCAACACAAACTACTGGCCCACATGTAGCCTATAACGGTCCCATTGCTCAACACAAACCACTTGCCCACATGTAGCCTATAACGGTCCCACTGCTCAACACAAACTAACGGCTCACATGTAGCCTAGAACGGTCCCATTGCTCAACACAAACTACTGGCCCACAGGTAGCCTATAACGGTCCCATTGCTCAACACCAAGCAAGAAATCTATGTCTGAATCGGTTTGTTAGTGATCAAACTTATAACAATACCGAGTGGAAAAAGCAATACAAAGAAAAAAAAAATGTAAAACCTAAAAGTGCAAAAATAGGATAACCTTGGGTTATGGATTAGTATCGGATAGCAATGAGTTTCAACAACCCAAACGGGAAGTGCTTACTGTAGCTACTCGTGTCAACTCTAAAGAGTGATGGCAAATAGAGCGTAGATCAATGCTACTTGATGCTGTTGTATGACAAATATACCGTCAGCTACAAGTACCAAAATAGCCTATAACGGTCCTATTGCTCAACACCAAGCAAGAAATCTATGTCTGAATCGGTTTGTTAGTGGTCCAACATAAACTATTGGCCCACATGAAGCCTAGAACGATCCCACTGCTCATTACAAACTACTGGCCCACATGTATCCTAGAACGGTGCCACTGCTCAACACACACTACTGGCCCACATGAAGCATAGAACGGTCCCACTGCTCAACCCAAACTACTGGCCCACATGTATCCTAGAACGGTGCCACTGCTCAACACACACTACTGGCCCACATGCATCCTATAACGGTCCTATTGCTCAACACCAAGCAAGGAATCTATGTCTGAATCATGTAAAACCTAAAAGAGCAAAAATAGGATAACCTTGGGTTATGGATTAGTATCGGATAGCAGTGAGTTTCAACAACCCAAACGGGAAGTTCTTACTGTAGCTACTGAACAACTGTAACTTGGTCAAATCTGGTGGCAAACTTCTGGCCCACATGTAGCATATAACGGTCCCACTGCTCAACCCAAACTACTTGCCCTCATGTAGCCTATAACGCGCCCATTGCTTAACACAAACTACTGGCTCACATGTAGCCTATAACGGTCCCACGGCTCTCAACACAAACTCCTGGCCCATATGCAGCCTAGAACGGTCCCATTGCTCAACACAAACTGCTGGCCCACATGCAGCCTAGAACGGTCCAATTGCTCACCACCAAGCAAGGAATCTATGTCCGAATCGGTTTGTTAGTGATCCAACTTATAACAATACCGAGTGGAAAAAGCAATACAAAGAAAATACAAAAAAAATGTAAAACCTAAAAGAGCAAAAATAGGATAACCTTGGGTTATGGATTAGTATCGGATAGCAGTGAGTTTCAACAACCCAAACGGGAAGGGCTTACTGTAGCTACGCGTGTCAACTCTAAAGAGTGATGGCAAATAGAGCGTATATCAATGCTACTTGATGCTGTTGTATGATAAATATACCGTCAGCTACAAGTACTAAAATAGATAGTGATGATTATGAATTTCTTGTAATTCGCAATTAGTTTCAACATCTCAAAGAGGAATGGATATTTAAGCCACCCGAGTCATCTCAGAAGAAAAGAACTAATTTGTGATAACGAAACGCATGTCAAGTTAGTTCAACGTCTTTTTTAATTCAACTCCATGTGCGTTGTTATGTACATTGTGTTCAGAGTAGAAATCACCAATAGAGCGTAGATCAATGCTACTTGGTGCTGTAGTATGACAAATATACCGTCAGCTACTCAACACAAACTACTGGCCCACATGTAGCCTAGAACGGCCCCACTGCTCAACACAAACTACTTGCTCACATGTAGCCTATAACGGTCCCATTGCTTAACACAAACTACTGGCCCACATGCAGCCTATAACGGTCCTATTGCTCAACACCAAGCAAGGAATCTATGTCTGAATCGGTTTGTTAGTGGTCCAACTTATAACAATACCGAGTGGAAAAAGCAATACAAAGAAAATACAAAAAAAAATGTAAAACCTAAAAGTGCAAAAATAGGATAACCTTGGGTTATGGATTAGCATCGGATAGCAGTGAGTTTCAACAACCCAAACGGGAAGTGCTTACTGTAGCTACTCGTGTCAACTCTAAAGAGTGATGGCAAATAGAGTGTAGATCAATGCTACTTGATGCGGTTGTATGACAAAGATACCGTCATCTACAAGTACCAAAATAGATAGTGATGATTATGAATTGCTTGTAAATCGCAATTAGTTTAAACATCTCAAAGAGGAATGCATATTTAAGCCACCCGAGTCATCTTAAATGAAAAGAACTAAATTGTGATAACGAAACACATGTCAAGTTAGTTCAACGTCTTTTTTAATTCAACTCCATGTGCGTTGTTATGTACATTGTGTTCAGAGTAGAAAACACCAGTAACTGAGCCAGTTATATAGGCTTACAATAGGCTCATAGGTTGCTTTAACATCTACAAACTAGTTATTGATATAACTTGTAACAATGTATGTACCAACGTACCAAAATGGATAGTGATGATTGCTAAGAATAGCTATTAAATCATCCCAATTTTTTCAACAACACAAAGAGGAATGGATAATTAAACAACCCGAGTCATCTTTAAAGAATGGAAATAATGTTGATACCCCAACATCTATCAATAATTCCAACGTCTATTTAAATAAACATCGTTGTTCACCAAGCAAGGAATCTATGTCTGAATCGGTTTGTTAGTGATCCAACTTATAACAATACCGAGTCGAAAAAGCAACACAAAGAAAATACCAAAAATATTGTAAAAACTAAAAGTGCAAAAATAGGATAACCTTGGGTTATGGATTAGTATCGGATAGCAGTGAGTTTCAACAACCCAAACGGGAAGTGCTTACTGTAGCTACTCGTGTCAACTCTAAAGAGTGATGGCAAATAGAGTGTAGATCAATGCTACTTGATGCTATTGTATCACAAAGATACCGTCAGCTACAAGTACCAAAATAGATAGTGATGATTATGAATTGCTTGTTATTCGCAATTAGTTTCAATATCTCAAAGAGGACTTCATATTTAAGCCACTGGAATCAACTTAAAAGAAAAGAACTAAATTGTGATAACGAAACACATGTCAAGTTAGTTCAACGTCTTTTTTAATTCAACTCCTTGTGCGTTGTTATGTACATTGTGTTCAGAGTAGAAAACACCAGTAGCTTGGCCGGTTATGTAGGCTTACAACAGCCTTATAGGTTGGTTTAACATCTACTAACTAGTTATTGATATAACTTGTAACAATGTATGTACCAACGTACCAAAATGGATAGTGATGATTGCTAAGAATTGCTATTAAATCACATTTTATTTCAACAACACAAAGGGGAATGCATAATTTAACAATCCGAGTCAACTTGAAAGAATGGAAATAATGTTGATACCCTAACACCTATCAATAATTCCAACGTCTATTTAAATAAACATCGTTGTTCACCAAGCAAGGAATATATGTCTAAATCGGTTTGTTGGTGATCCAACTTATAACAATACCGAGTGGAAAAAGCAATACAAAGAAAATACAAAAAAAATATTGTAAAAACTAAAAGTGCAAAAATAGGATAACCTTGGGTTATGGATTAGTATCGGATAGCAGTGAGTTTCAACAACCCAAACGGGAAGTGCTTACTGTAGCTACTCGTGTCAACTCTAAAGAGAGATGGCAAATAGAGTGTAGATCAATGCTACTTGATGCTGATGTATCACAAAGATACCGTCAGCTACAAGTACCAAAATAGATAGTGATGATTATGAATTGCTTGTAAATTGCAATTAGTTTCAATATCTCAAAGAGGAATGCATTATACTTTATTTTCGTAGGTCAGCTTTATAGAATGTCGGGAAATTAATATTATTTCATAACAAAATTATAGTCAGTCATATAGTACCAAATTGGATAGTGATCATTGTTAAGAATTGCTATAAAATTGCCCTTTGTTTCAACATCTCAATGGGGAATGCATATTTTAGCCTACATGTATGTATCATCGTAGGTCAACTTTAAAGAATGTCGGGAAAACAATAGTAGGTCAATTGATGTTATTTCATAACGAAGATATAGGCAGTACGAAAATGGATAGTGATGATTGTTAAGAATTACTATTCAATCGCCTTTTGTTTCAACATCTCAAAGGTGAATTACTATTCGCCGCTTTATCCTCGTAGGTCATTTTTAAAGAAATGTCGGGAAATTAATAGTATTTGTAACAAAGATGAAGTCAGTATGTAGACTAGCGTTTGCTAAATTATTTTCTGCGTACTAAAATTCAACTTAATGTGTAGTTAGTTCCAACCTTCATTGAAAGATATGAATATCAGAATCATATTGTTTTTTGTCAGAATCTGGTAATTTAAACCCTATCCAAATGTTGTTTTACTAACATTTCTTGTAAATGATAATACAATGTGAACAATAATAACGTAACAATGAAATTCCAAATATGTTTTCAAATTAATCAGAACAAAATGGATATTAATATTGGCTTTGAACAAAATGGATATTAATATTGGCTTTGAACAAAATGGATATTAATATTGGCTTTGAACTGATATCACGTCACAATTGATTTCATAAATGTAAAAGGCATGCATATTTTGCCTACCTCAGTCAACTTTAAAGAATATCATCAAATGTTGATAACCGAACAGTCGTTATCTTGTTGTAAAAATTGATTAGGAAAAAAATAGTAAAAATGAAAATCGAAAAAGATTGCAATGTCAGAGAAACGGTTTCTTAAACAGCAAATACACATCGCACTGTATCTTTTACAGGCTAAAGCTGATTTTAGTCATTTATAGATAACAGCAGAACTAAATATTTCCATGTTGTACAAACAAGGTACTTTATCTAAATTGAATCATATATATTGTTGTAATTTAAACAATGAATACAATGTTTTAAATTTGCTTCACGTTTTTTTTTAATTATTTCATGAGTACATTCCGCATTGTTGCTATATTGTATTTTTTTTCATATTGGATTATATGTTGATTGTTTAAGTTGTGACAATGAATACGTTTTAAAAAAAAATCGCTTGTTCTCTTAATTATTTGATTATTACATTTCGTGCTTTACAAAAATGGTATTTTATCTAGATTGGATCATATATATATTGTTTTGATTTAAACCATGAATACAATCTTTTATTTTTGTTTCGATTATTCCATAAAAACAGTCCGTGTTTTCCGGGCGAGGTGCTGTATCTATTTTTTATGTATTGGATCATGTGTGTATTGTTTAAGTGTTGAAATTAATATTATGTTTTAAATTTGCTTCATTTTTTTCTGTTAACTTTTCGATAAATACATTCTTTGTTATACAAACAGGTGCTGTATCTAGATTTTTTTATGTATTGGATCATGTGTGTATTGGTGTTTTTAAACAAAGAATACAATGTTTCAAATTTGCTTCACGTATTTTTTGATAATTATTCCATAAAAGCATTCCGTGTCGAAGATTCAAATAATGATAGAAGTGATAACATCAAAAACAATGTATAGAAGATTCTGTGATCATATGTTTCGTTATAGAAACCATCCTGGGGAAAATGAAAATCAGGAGAATGATGGAGTTATCTTGTATTTGAGAAAATGCAGTACCGCCGCTAAAGATTAGCCACATATGTTACATGTTTCTAACATTTTCTTTAGTGGCAGTGGAACAAAACAAAACAACAGAAAACTATCAAATATTTTCATCAAATTGAATATCAAATAATTGTCAGAATGTGTATTTTTGTTTCAATAATTGGTAAGACAAAATTAATTGATGAATGCAATACAAATCATTCGCGAATACTTTCTCCGCGGTACTGTTTCCTCAAACTTCATTGTAAGAGTTGTGTCGCTTTGATTGGGGCAATCTTTGCTATCTCAATTGGTTTCATCGCCCTGCTAACACTTCACTTACTTTAGCTTCACCTATATATAATCTTTTAGTACTGAAGTGCCTATCAGTCGACAGTACAGTTGTGACGCCATAGTCTTTAGGTTTGGTACGGCTAGTTAATACTGGTTATGGAATATTCGATTTATCACCTATAAGTCGTAATGAGTCATGAAAGGATGAAGCAGCTGTACGTGTATATCACTGTAATTTACATCATGGCATAGGCCTAATGTATATACAAATGTATCATCACTTGTGTGTACCTCCATTAAAAACTTATTCCAAATTTAAAGGGGGTAAACATGACATTAAGTAAAATAGTGTCCTCCCTTTTATTGATTGTTAGAGTATTCGTGTAAATTCCTATACTTCTAAACAGGATCACAGACAAATAACTTTAACGTTGGATACGACTGGGTAACACCGGATTTTACTATTTCACTTATCAAAACCCTATCTCAATTTTAAGAAATAAATACGGAATATCGATTTATTGATATTAAATCGATGAAGTGAAGTTATAAACGTTATTTGTCATTCTATTCTTTGTGAGAGCATTATAGTTCTTAAGAGGATTACAGAAACAATTTATAATGTGTATCATTCGAATTGCAAAAAATCACTTAATAATATACCTTGTTACTGACAGTTTATTTCCCCAGAACTATTGATTTGGTTTTACTGGGGCACATTGGCGAGCGTTTAAAACTGAAACCGAAAAACATAATTGGGCTGAATGGACCAGAACAGTTTTCTTAATATAACATAACCAGTTTTAAACTTAGATTACAAAAAAGCACTGGTTAGACTAAATAAAGGAAGGATATACTAAGTATTAGCTACTATTCCATGCCTATAAACATAATCTAAGCGTTAAAGGGATTCATTACAGCTCCTGTCATGCGTCAATAGCTCTAACGATTACCCGACATACCAATGTACCAGAGGAAGACTATTTGACTCTGAAGCAAACGTTTACAATAGAAATCCGATATTTAGTCAATGAAGTAGAACGTCAAAGTTATGCACCAATCAAATGAACGTATTTTAGTTTCAATTTTTTATGGTGATTTACTACAACTCAGTTTTTGTGCACCTTTATTACAGGACATGGATATCCCTTCACTTTGAACTAATAAAAAAGATCGACGAAAGTCCTTTTTAGGTATCAATACAAATTATAATTTCATTTCCCCGTCAGAGAATCATACGGACAGATTGCCAGTGGAATAATATCATTATAGAGCAGTAACGCACCCAGATGTACGTCATATAAAAGTGTAGTTTATGCATTCAGTTCGACTATTATAGGTGTCGTGTTTCTTTTGTTTAATACTTCACACAAATCTCAAGTTAGTGAAAAAAATATTCATTACAACCACTATTACCATTTCCTTCTCTCCGGGGAGGACTTACATCTCAACAAAACTAGTGTATCCCTTTATTGCGCCTATTGTCTTTTTATGTACTCGGTAATGCAATACTGATGACGAAAGTGTTGTGAATAATTGATCAATTTCTTCGGAATGGTATATTTGTTTTTTACATTACACATAACTACGGACAGTTGGGTTGGGATATGTATGTGTCATGCCTCTTCGGTTGACATGATATTCTGATAATTGACATTTTAGATGATGATAAGATTATCAATTTACACTCATTCAAAATCTTCCGCCCAGTGGCAGTGTTAATTGTATCTGTTAGCTCTAACCTCATACATCAACCCATCCGACCGTTTACGCTTTGGTATTGGACGGACCACTATACAGCAATCTTAAAGTTTAGATGTCCTCACTCCTACACTTTCATGAAACTGTTTAACTGTTTAGAACATACTAGTGTAGAATTCTGATTCATTGTTGGTAATGTTCTCATCTTTGACAGTCGTTACATCAATTACCGAGTCACGAACTACCCTCCTCTTGTACACTCCTCTCCTCATACAGGGCAATGTCTTACCAATAACCAATGAACTACCATCCTCTCCTTATACAGGGCAATGTCTTACCATCAACCAATGCACTACCCTCCTCTTCTCATACAGGGCAATCAATTTCTTACCATCAACCAATGAACTACCCTCCACTCCTCATACAGGGCAATGTCTTGCCAATAACCAATGAACTACCCTCCTCTCCTCATACAGGTCATTGTCTTACCATGAACCAATGAACTACCCTCCTCTCCTCATACAGGGAAATGTCTTACCAACAACCAATGAACTACCCTCCTCTCCTCATACAGGTCATTGTCTTACCATGAACCAATGAACTACCCTCCTCTTCTCATACAGGGCAATGTCTTACAATCAACCAATGAACTACCCTCCTCTTCTCATACAGGTCAATGTCTTACCATGAACCAATGAACTACCCTCCTCTTCTCATACAGGGCAATGCCTTACCATCAACCAATGAACTACCCTCCTCTCCTCATACAGGGCAATGTCTTACCATCAACCAATGAACTCCCTCCTCTTCCAAAACAGGGCGGCAATGTCTTACCATCAACCAATGAACTACCCTCCTCTCCTCATACAGGGCAATGTCTTACCATCAACCAATGAACTACCCTCCTCTTCTCGTACACTCCTCTCCTCATACAGGGTAATGTCTTACCATCAACCAATTAACTACCCTCCTCTTCTTATACAGGGCAATGTCTTACCATCAACCAATGAACTACCCTCCTCTTCTAATACAGGGCAATGTCTTACCATCAACCAATGAACTACCCTCCTCTCCTCATTCAGGGCAATGTCTTACCATGAACAAATTAACTACCCTCCTCTTCTCATACAGGGCAATGTCTTACCATCAACCAAGAACTTCCCTTCTCACCTCATACAGGGCAATGTCTTACCATGAACCAATTAACTACCCTTCTCTCCTCATACAGGGCAATGTCTTACCATCAACTAATGAACTACCCTCCTCTCATACAGGGCAATGTCTTACCATCAACCAGTTAAGTGCGACCGTTTAATTTTAAAGTTTCTGGTTGAGTTCGGCGGCAAGATTTTCATGCAGACTAGGCATTCCAACGGGAACATTGATTTGTTTCTGATTTTATTTGAAGCTGAATGTATTGATGGGCTTATTAGGACTGGTAACAACAATCTAGGTAAGTCCTTCAATTTTATATTTAGATATATCGATGATGTGCTGTTAGTGTGTTGAATAGCAAGAAACTCATTGACCACATCGATTCTAACGTAGTGTACATAGCCTGAGAGCTTGAACTCAAGGACACCACATATTTTCTGAATTTGACCAGCAAGGACGGCTTCTAATCTTTGCAAAAAGTGGGATGATTTCGAATTTCCAATCGCGAACGTTCCCTTTGTTGATAGCATCACCCCTTCTTGCTCTACCCACGGTGTTTTTATGTCGCACATAGTTTGGTGATCAAGAGCTTGATCCGAACATCATGATTTTCATTTCTTTGTTCTACGAAGGACGATGTTTTTGTTCATGCTGATTACAGTGCCTTGTGGTTTTGATGTCACTTCCCGAGTTCTTGATGTAAAGACACAACATTATTTGAATACGACTTAGATTTACATGGCGGGAGTCATTGATGAAGCGGAATACGCCTATCCTTCCAGAACACATGGCTTATTGTCAGTGATTTTTTTCAATGGTTTCATTTATATATTTCCAGTTTTCACATTTTCTGTTATCGATTTTAAGTTGGATTATGGTTATGTTGTGACTTTAGTTTTCTTTTATGTTTTGTTCTTTTTTTTTACTATATGCAGTGTGGAGTGATTCAATACATTCAGAATCGGGTTTGTTTTGAAAATGATAATGATTATATGACTTGAACGGCCTGTCTTCCGACACATGCACTTTCCCGTCCTAATACAGTTCGGAAGCATGCCTCAACATGGAATACATGAGAATAACCTAGTAATTAATATGTTAAGTGATGAATGCTGGATTAAAACCAAATAGACATACTGTAAATTGTTCACATCGTTGAATGAAACAGGTCAAGGTAGAGAAGTAAGGAGA